GTCACCGATGGTTAGCTACACTGAGTGACATGGCTGGGTGTCGCAAACAGTGGCGCTCGTGCATCCACTCGTTATTTTCCTAACACCACTATGTATGTATTCCCCATCTTCCGCTTGAATTTGCTTCGGCATTCCAATCTTCATTTTGCTCTTTTATCCAATGGGCAACTGAAAGACAACAACCAAAACCGATGCACGGAAGTGCATGGTTAATGGTTGTAAAAACTGAAACTGAACTTAAACCTGGCCATTTAGTTTGAGAGCGGGAGTAGGTGAAACCCAGTCCTGTAGCATCACTTTGCACTTTGAAACTGCAAAGCAAATTCCGAATGTGGCAACTACACTTGTTAGCCTATCAAGTGTGTTTCGCGCATCCTCCATGCATTCTAACAGACAGACGACGTCATCGGCGTACTCTAAATCGCACAGCTTTTCTCTAGTTGCCCATTCAATACCTACGTTTTGGTGACCACTAAGTGCATCCTCCAGTATGTCATCTACGACGAAATTAAACAGGAACGTCGAGAGAGGGCACCCTTAACGAACGCGGCTGCTGGTGACGAATGACCTGCTTAGTTCATCATAGACCCTTACTCGATCAGAGATATGTGAATACAGTAACCTCAGTAAGTTAACGTGCTTCTGGGGAATTCCTCTGTGATGAAGGGAGCCCATCAGAGCTTCGCGGTCAACTGAGTCGAAGGCTCTGTTAGGGTTGAGGAAAACTGCGATCGTTGATCGACGGTGGGTGTGAAGCAGCTCAAGGACCTGACGCAATGTAAAAATTTGATCAACACATCCACGGTCAAGCCGGAATCCGGTTTGCTGTTCACAGATGTTGGTTTCTCTTAAAGGCTTCAGATGTCGGAGTATGACCAAGGCTCGCACTTTGGTGACGATCGGGATCAAACTGATCCCACGGTGGTTTTCCACCCCAACCAGAATGTTCGATCGTTTCCATCCATGCAACGAACCAACCACGCGCAGACAGAACGAACTGAATCATTCCTAGTGACCCAATTCAATCTTAATCCCTGGGTTTTCTAGGTAGCTACATCGTCGTCCACAAGGTCAACTTGACTTTGAATTGACAGCATCACATATATGCACCTATCATAGATGAAGATTTAGCGTCTAGTACCTGATCAACCATGGAAAATCTCGTTTTTCTCTTATCCATTGCATTAGTAACGGATGCGTGCCAGTGAAAATCATACACAGCATTTGTTTGGTGGTCTAACTGTTTCACAAATATGGTTGTATACAATCCAAGCAAGCCATTCAGAAATAATCGGCCAAAATCCATGAGTGCATCATGTAACCAACACTTACTTACCGTTCCAAGATACGTAAAATTTCCCCTTTTTCATGCGTGTATGCTCGCACAATTTGGTGATCAATGTTTCCCATGACAGATCGGACGTGGCTCCTTTGAATGGCCATTCGAATGTGACCACTTTTTCCGGACGATGCGCGCAGGGAAATGCGATACGAATGATAAACATCTCTGCCTCCTAGTGTGCCACAACTGTTTCACGGGCGAAACGGATTCTGTTTGAGCATGCAATCTTCGCACACACACACACACACTCGTAGAGCACAGAATCCATCAATAAATGTGCTATTGGAAAAGACACACTCACTGAAGCAAGTACGTGTCACGTGAATTCACGAGGCAGAAGTAGAAAAGTCGATAGTGATTCGACGTGCTGTGTTGCCATTTTGGTGTCTGTGCGAGTGAGAGCACGCGCGCGACGATTAATCATGGGCGTGAACCCTTTGAAATGAAACAAAAACAAAATTGCACACACCCTGAACAGGGACTGAGAGAGACTTGGGTGATGCTTGCAGAGCTACCAGATACATACATATATGTTGTCAATGAAGTCTACTCACATGATATCGGCGAGAAACAGTGAAAACCTAAGTGCTAGAGACAAGCAAGTAACAACGTGTAGGTCACTGAGAACTAGCGGACCTACAGACATGTGACTGTCGGTGAACGAAATCAAACGTTTCAAACAATCAGCGTGTGTATTCCAAACCGATCATACTGACTTAGGCGCAACTGGGCGAACGTATCACCGAAAACCATGTTACCCATTCTATAGTTATAGCTGAGAAAAGAAGTTAGTGGGATCTTGGTAAGGAGCGCTTGTCTGTAGCACAATGGAATTCGGGCTTTGCACCGATGATCGAACAATGAGAAGAGAATGACAAGTCAACAACTCATCCGAGGACCGATATCCGTTTTTTCACGATTCTGATACCAATCAAAAGATCCTTCACATCGAACAATCTTAATGATCGCGTAGTGACCACCCGCGTTATTATGGGAATCAGAGCCGATTAGGGTTTCCTTGTTTTATGAGGGCCGAGAAAACATTTTCGGGATACGCAGCACACATAAGAGGTGCAGATTCTGGGTAACAGCTCACAAGCCATACGAGGGTAGCGATACTCGGAATGCAAGGGTAGAATTCAGTCGATGTCGCTGGATGTGGGTGATGAATTTGTACGACTACAAATGTGGCTTCAAGCGGCAGCAGCAGTAGTGCTGATCGTTGGCAAGCTGCCTTTGGTGATGGCACGCCTTCAAGAAGCATCGTGTTTGAGTTGTTGGCGGAATTTAAGAGATGGATGATGAGACAAGGTGTGATCGACCTTTAGAGGCCATCACAGTGGACAGCATTGCTCTTGTGCAAGCGATGGTGGATGGTGATGTGCGAGTGACAGCGGCACAGCTGGCAAAAGCCATCGCGATCAATTCGCACTATCCTACATGAGAAGCTTGACCTCAGAAAGGTTTGCGCACGCTGGGTACCCCATCAGCTCAGCGAGGAATAGAAAGTAGTTCGGGTGAATTGGCGCTGTACCATGCTTGACAGCTTTGATAGTGAACGTTCCAATGGAGTTTTGGAGATCATCAGTGGTGATGGGACCTGGTTGTACACTTTAGACCAGAGAACAAGTAAAAGTGAGTGGACGCCGGTTTGTGGGGCGCCACCTCAGAAATTCCGACGCTAGTGCAGAGTGGCAAAACGGGTAATGGTTGTATTCATGACCAAACCGACCGGGGTCTTGTAGTAATTGTAGTAGGCACTGATCACGAAACATGAATCATGTGTCAGAAATCACGGACGTCACGTAAGCACCGAATCACACTGGTACTAGCACGACTGTAACCCTTGTAACCCAGACGCAAGGAAAAGGCCACAGAAGTAGCAGTTCATCTCTGAAATAAATCACGGGGTTTAAATAACATGTACAAAACCAGTTCTTTGGTCATACAAGCATCTGCCAATCACGTGCTAGTCTTTCTGGCGTTGTACAATCTCTGTCTAGGCCGCACGGCTTCTGATTGTTTGGTACAATCGGTCTATGGTTTGTAGTCCAGACGCTGTGACACGTAGGCACTTTGCTGACGTCCCCTGGGGAGCTTGATTCATCATGCTTGTTCAGAAAATGTAACGTGCCACTCTGTGGTTTGTGTCATTCCGTAGGCCAGGATCATCACAGGTCTGGTACCCCACTCACAGTCCGCCGAAAGGGCTGGAATTTGTTGCCAGGCTTCGTCCAAGGGTTCGAGCATGAGGGACCTTGCTGCATTATGACAACACACCTGCACATAGGCTCCATGTAGTTGGCAATTTTCTGGCTAGAGGACGTGTCCAGGATGTTGGTCACCCAACCTATGGTACAAACTGGGCTACGTG